TATGTGATCAATTATGTACATTATTAAACATATACTTCACTGGAACATTATATATATAAAGTTCTCCAGCCTCTCTGGAATGATGTACAAGAATACAATGCTAGTACAACTGTTCAAGGGGCACCAGAAATCCTCAACTGATATCCTACTGAAATTCATTACCACTGCAGAAGAAAAAAAATCCCATTTAAGACCCAAGTTCTTGATTACTTCAGTGCTTCCCAATTCCCATTGGTATTTCTGTTTCTTTTCCTCATCCTGTATCAGTCTCACTCAAAACCTTGTGACTATTTTCCTTTCTCTTTTCTTCAACTACTGATTCCTTTCTTCAATCCTAATCTTCTTTCACCTGTGCATTCATAATGCAGAGTTTAAACTTAGAACTTCTCTTTCCTTTCTTACTGAAACCATTGTTGTTTCTGTGTAATTAGAGTGAAAAGGACAATAGTTAATTCCCCACATTGGTGTTTTCCCTATTTTCTAATCAACAGCTGGTCAATAATCTGTTTTTTCTTAGTTCCACCTAAATCTAATTTTTTTATACAAGAAGATAGCTTAGGCCTCTGAGGAGTGCCCATAGCTAACTCCAAGAAAAAATTCTAAAAATTAACACCAATATCATAAAGAACAAAGAAATCTGATTTCAAGTTGTATATGGAATTAGAAACTATTTTAAAACAAATATCTTAAGTTCTCAGTATTTTGTATGAACTTTGATATTACTATATAAAAGCCAACAAGTTTTTAAGGTATACAATAGAACTTTTTACATTAAGAAAATTTTCATATTAAGCATGTGAGAGAAACACCCTATATGTTATTTGACCCTCTATTCAGAACAGATCTGTGAATTTAGCTGTGCTCTTCATACGAATTGAAAGATATCCTTTCCCTTAACAGCTTCCATTTGTTTTCAACAGCCATTATGAATTGGTTCCAGAGCTAGTACACAGTTTGCAAACTGTATCTTCAATAATAACAATGGACTTACCCGTAAAGACTCTTGGAATGAGGAAGCCTGGTACTGTGCATATTTAGCAATTGTTGTATGAGATCTACTGCTTTCACAACGCCAGATTTTCTTTGTTCCAGTGGGGTCCCAGTTTTCATCCGCTGGCTGCAGTAGCTGTGTCCTCACTTCTACTATGTGTTCGTTATTTGCTTCTACCAATGTCTTAGTAGAGAAGAGTCCTAGATCTAATAAAATTAATAAATAACACTCAAAAGATAATACTAAGTTTCAAGAAAAGAAAACACTAATGCCTAGAAGTTATCTAAAGGTTTCAAGTATTTTCCACCCCCGTTATCCTTCATAACACAGCCTACCTGTAGGTTAAAAACTAACACTCCTGATTAAGCACGCAGAAAGCTTTTCTGCACACAACAGAAGCTTAGGGAAAACCTGGCAGCTATTGTATGGACTATATTCCAAGAAACATTTTGTGGGTCTTGTGTAAACAAATCTGCAAACAAATTCTGAATCTATTACCAATAAATTATTTTTCAAACTATAGTTTTATGAATGCACTTCCACCATATAACATACTTCCTACAAGCAGTGATTATTTTTCTGTCTACAGAGTGCAATATACAGTCAGATTATAGTTCATTAACTCTAAGGACAAAGACATGTAGCCATACTTCTCAAAGGAAAAAAGTCCACCAGTATGCTTCCATATCCAAAGCTCAGGCTCCTCTCTGTGCTTGACAAAATCTGCTGGATTGTTTTTTGGGGTTTTTTTGTTTGTTTATTTTGAGATGATCAAGATTAGAAACAGTAGCAAACTGAGAAATGACACATTACCCTACTTACTTGGAATACATAAGTAATACAATATTACAGAAATAAAATACCCACTTTTAAGAACTGCCAGACTTCTTTTTAACACACATGCACATTTTCCCTAAAGTAAAAAAAATAAAAGAAAAAAAAAAGAAGAAAAAAAAGAAAAAGAAATACGGAAAAAAAAAGAAAGTAAACTTACCTAATTTAAGCGCTCCAGCAAGGCCACGTATTACAGTAACAGGGTTGTTTGGATTTGTACAAAATTGATGTAAAGGTGGAAAGAAAGCATCGCGTTTATTTTCCAACTGTAAAATTATAACAGAATATTAGATGTCAGATGAACTTGAGACTCCTTATTTGCAAAATAAGAAAGAATAATTAGAAAAAGAACAGAAAAAAACCAAGAATGGTCACCATTTTGCTGCACTGTGGGGAATAAACTGCTACATCATACAACCTTTTCGATGTTTAACTCTGGGTTCACTCCTGAAACTAATTTGTTACTGCAATTTATTTCTTGGCATGAATTATTCCCAGGTTGCTTTGGCTTTTGCAACTCAGGTTTCCTGCAGTTTATTTCTTTATCTGACAGCAGCCTTGCACATTCTCTACATCTACAGAATTCTCTGAAGAGCAAGTTAATATATTAACTTTCTTAACAGAAGTAAAAAAGCTAATTCTGCAGATAGTGTCTACAAGAAACAGTATAATGAAAAAGACTACTCTAACAGTGCATGTTATGTTATCCAGAAAGGTTGATGTTATTTTCTTATGCTTTGTGCACATATGAACTCAATTTTATGCTAGTCTCCCCCATCATTTTTTTTGTTTGCTTAGTTCGGGTTTTTTTGTTGCCAATCTTTCAAAATGCTGAAGACAACTCTTTCAATAAACAAAACACACTATAGAGTTCCCAAATACTGGGACCCACACTGGTGGGTCACCATGCTACATCGTGACTCACCAGCTTTGTATGGACTTAACAAAACTGTGATGGACTTTTAACAAGGTAGATGAACTGAGATGCAACACTTGGAGAACTGTTGGAAGCATTACTGCCTGCACCCTAGTCTTCAGACACACTGCTTGTGTCACAACAAAGAGCCACCAGCTTCTAGTCCCCAAGTTGGACTGAGCAAAGCTAACAGGAGATTTTCACACCAAATGTATGGACATACTGTTATTTATTCTTCTGTTATCAAGGACATGGATATCCTGTAATTAATTCTTCTATTACTAATGAAGGTAGCTCAAACTCTTCTAAAGCTACTATGAAACTTACTTTCAAAATAAGAAACATTATACAACAAAAACCTGCCTTTTCCTAAAGACATGTTGTTCTTAATGTCCCTCAACTTTCATTAATTTTTTCTTTACTATATTTTGAGAGATTGTTACGAGATTTTAATTACTTGTTAGCTTACACCTACACTGTCACTTGCAAAAATGTATATACATATTTGAGATATTGTAGATTGCATCTAAAAAACTGTTCTGTTTATTCTGCTAATATTTTGAATATTTTTTAAAAATCTGTCACTTTTTCCTCTTGTTTGTTGAAATTCTTAATTTACAACTATTTTAAGAGTTAAGCTAAGTTTAAAATTTTAATTCAGGTTAGCACTTTTCCCACTTATACATTAGTTAGGAGACCACTAATTACAATTCACCTGTGAACAGTGCAATTATATTCTACAATTCAGATATCCAAACAATTACAAAAGACATTTCAACAATGTATTTCTACCATTAGATTTACTTACATAAATACTAGGTGTAGGTGGATTCAGCTTGTCCTTTGGCAAGGGAGGGTAGGGTGGAGGCGGTGGTCGTGGAGGTGGGCATTTATCCAATAGAATACTACTGTTAGATAAGCCATTTTTACCCAGATTCCTAAAAGGAAAGAAGATCTGCCTCTGTCAAAACTTGACAAATAAAATAAGTATTGTCTTAAGTGTCGTGTCTTCTGCAAAATAACGAGGTGTAAGGAGAAGCCATAATTCAAGATACAAATAAGCTCATGTATTTTAATCAAGAATTCTCAGTGTGTAATTTGATAATATTCAAAATAATTCCCACTCTGCATGTCAGATCATCAGTATCACAACTATTAGTTAAAAATACAGCCATTTTAAATAAAAGCAAGTATGAGTCATTTGGCAAAGTTTAACAGAAAGCAAGTTTCATCAAGAAATAGAGAAGAACCTTATTAGCTCGGCATCAGCTGGTGGATGATCAATTCGCAGCAGCTGAGACAACTCAGCCAGTACTGCTTTGCAAGCACTGTGGCAGAGGACCGAGTCAGAAAATGGCAACGCCTCAGCCAAAAAACTGTCAAGTCACAAAAAACCAAGTGCAACTACACTAATGACACTGAGCTAAACACTCACCCCTCTCTCATTAACACATTTTGAAGCTAGGAGCCACTGCTGCAAAATCCATTTGTCTGAACAACAGAGGAAAGGACCTACCCTGAGAGAGTTGCTGTCAACATCATCCGTACTGAAGTGTTTTGAAGTGAGAACCTTGCTTGTTGTATTTGCAACCTTTCTCTGGGTAATCTACTGTATGCATGCTAACTTTTTCTATAATCAATGACCTGAAAAATCTACATTCCGAGCTTAGTCTATATTCAATATCCAGTCACCATCACCAGGGAAATATTTATTAACAAAATCATCCCTTAAATTTTTGTTTGTTAAAAATAACTCAGCTATTTCAAATTTCATCAAACTGAATACCATTCAAATCCTTCTTCCAACCTCACTTGATTCGTTCTCTGTTCTTGTCACCTCTTAATACACCACAAAAATGGGAACTTCGTAGTGCATAATTTAATCATGCATCTTCGTAACATTCACCAGTTACAAAGAAGTTGTTCTGGTAACAACAGTCTTCAGCAGAAAACACGTCTGACTGACATTAAATGAAACTCATAGCAACACAGCCTCTCTAAAACACAGTAACTGCGATACTGGCACTGAGAAACATGACAGAGCTGGCATATGAAAGCACTGCTTCAAATCAAGCTACCACAAACCATGAGGAAGATGGACTTGGCACTTGAGATCAGATCAGACTGACTGTTCGGACAAACACTTTTAAAGACAATGAGCAAACATCTCACCAGGATGCAGTAAAGACCAGCATCCTGAGAAACTGGTGCCCATCCTGACAAACAAGTCAGTCATTCAGTCAGGAACTTACGCCAGCTTTCTAACTCCTACACTGCTGTCCTCTGACAGGAGATTAGATCCATACAAAGAGAGACATAAGTGTTTGTCAAAACACCAAACATAGCTTATTCCTTGTGCTAGGTAAGCCGAGTGACATGATAGACTGCAACTTTGAAGAAACTCAAAGAGCAGCACAGAAGCTTTGATTTGGCATCATCCAACTTAACAAAAACCTCACTGACCAATGAATGCTCAATGTCTGATGGAGTTCTTGCAAAGACCCTACTTCCCATCCTCTGAAAAAAACAAACCATACAAAACAACTTAGCAATCACCATAAACCAAAGAAATTTATCAACTACGGTTGCATGAATCTCAGATTCAAACTACCTACAAAGTGAAACTATAATCTGAACAGCAGGTATTAGAAGTAACTATAATATTTGCATTGCCAAGGCAAGGAAGAGAAAGACTGAAGTTGAAGAAAAGGAACTAACTCAGAACTAGTGTGACTTAAACTACTGTAGTGACAACATGATAATCACCACAGAGAAAGCTGAGTAAAGCCAAGAGACACAAGGTCTTCA